AACCAACCAGCTGATGTAATCCAAACAAACTCCACCGGAGCGCTCTCTGGGTCCCCTCGAGGGCCGGAACAGCACATGCTCCTTCTGAGTCATGAATATCTTCTCCGGGTTGGCTCTTGCCGTGTCAGTTACAAAGTCAACCCATTAACATCTTCACTTTTCCACGCTGCACTTTGCCCAACGCAGAAACAACAAGGGTGAATATGCGGGAAAGAGAGTACCAGGGAGCCAAAATACCTCCCGGTCCCCCGGGGGAGTCGGGGTGAGAACAGTTTATGATGATGGACGGGAAATATTTTTCCTTGATATGTTGCAATATCGAGGCTCTCGGAGCGCTGAGGCGAGACTCGCCCTACGCAAAAAGTGTGATTGACATAATTTCCAAGAGAGATGAAGAGTCAGTGTCGGGAGAGGGCAAGGGTGAAGCGGTGGAAGGAAGGCTGCGAGCTGCCAAAGGAAAGTTGAGTCAGCGAGGAGTGATGAGGATGAAGGGAAATCTTGGCATATCGGACCCTCCGCAGTCGGCCGATGGGACGGCTAACGTGACAATGAGGGGCAGGAAGGTATGGAGAGAAAACAGAAGAACAGATATGGAAACGCACACATGAGAAGAAACACGAGAACAGCCGATAAAACAAAGCGAGGAAGACTTATGTCTTGAGCTGGCTTCTAAACTGGACTTTGGACATCTGAAAGAAAATCTGGAGTTGGCTGCAGTTACAATGAGAGGCGGCGTGAAGAAGTTTTCCACTTGTCTAAGCATTTTTGAAATGCCAGAAACAAAGATTATTGTGTATTCGGCAATGCAGATTTGGAGCTTCGAAATGAGGGCTGACTTGGAGCCAGTCACAAGAAGGAGTCATGCCATACCAACTACGGCAAAACTCATTCAAACTCTGCATTTCCATGCATCTGGGTGATCTCAAGAGCATTATGAGAATCGGTGCTGGCCTTTCCCAGAGTGCTTTTTGGGTGTGCGGTCCCAAGTTTTAAACACAATGTTACACAGGATAAGTAGATGCTCCCAAGTGCCGCGCACTGGATACGTTAAATCAAAGAAAATATGGCTTTTATGTGGTTGCTGGCTCGTCCGTAATTATTGGTGTGACAGATTTCTTTTCTGTAACTCAGGAATGTGTTTGCTTGAAAGTGTCAGCGTAAGAGGCAATTTCATCACATCCAACTCTCGTAAATTTTCCACGGGGGAATCCGGCAGTCGACGCTTTCACATCTGTTGTAAGCAGCACGGACAATCCATTAGTGACAGAAGACACAATGTAAGCCTCCACTAGTATTTGGGATCCAAATCTTAGGAGATTATGTGTGCAATCTGTTCAAGTGAACACATATTTTAGAGGCTGCTATTTGGGGGGGCTTGGTAAATCAGGTCCTAACTCTGTATGAAGTTCTGAAAAATCTATCAAAAGGATGGGCATCCATCGTTATTCCCTTTTACAAGCGGCAACAGCATGGACATGAAAGGGGGGGGAACCGAGACCTTTGGTCTTCAGAGGTAGCAACAGTAACAACGTCGAGATGCTGCTGCAGGGTTCTCTGCAAAACGCACATGTCTTCAGCCATTCGATATTTTGTTATTTTACAGTTTCCTCATGTATAAAAAATGCTGTCAGCAAGGATTTGATCTCCTTTAAACAAAAGGCCAGAACCAACGTCCTTGCAGGTCCAACATGAGGCGCACGGCCCTGCATGGTCAGTGTCAGTTCCACCTTGCGCCTCATAAAAAATGCAACGAGTCCATGTATATTTACAGAGATTAATTACCACTCCCGCTTGCAATGCGGCCTCGACGCGCAGGTTCGCCTTCGTTCCGGGGGGCAGTCGCTCAAAGCGCCGGGCACCTCCTTCCACCTTGATGAATATTGCACAAGTCTGAGGAGTGCGATGCATTGATGGAATCCACCTCAATCAGCCAGGGAATCGATGGCATACACTCACATTTGCAGAGGGGCTAATTGGCAGCATTAAAATTCACCAAGCTGCATAATTTACCCACGAGAGAAATGGGAATAAGGTGCAGGGCGATCAGCTCATTTGTGGCAGAGACATTAAAAAAAGCCCTGTCGCGGTGAAAGGAGGAGGCCTTAAACAGATGAGGAGCCAAAGCCAAAGGCCAGATTATTCATGTCTCGGCTTGTCACGCCTAATGAATGTACAAGCCACACCGTTTTTTTTTTCTTTCTTTCCAGAAGCGACATTAAACTCTCTAACACGGGGAAACATATTTGACCGTGACTGTCAATGACTGACCATTTTCTTTTAGACACCACTGACATTAGTGGTTTCCTGCGCAGACCTAATTCACTCGTTCATAATTTACCGCTGGACTGGACCTAACATGAAACATTCATTGACATACTGTATGACAGTACATGCCCCCCCCCAAAAAAAAATATGCTTGGCTCTACTTTAAATTCACACAAATATTAACTATAGTAAGTCATCATATAAAAAGGAATGCTGTTCACCTGACATCTTTTACTGTACAACCAAAATGTGAGCCCTTTGTTTTAATTACATGAAATTATCACGGGGGAAGTGCTTCAAAATGTTCTCGACGTGGTTTAACAAGTATTCGCATATCTGTTGAGCATTTTCAAAAGAACATTCCGAGAAGAAACGCTACATGATGATAGAATGCAGGGTCAGTGAAGCATTTTTATTTATTTTTTTTAAGACGACATTCAATGTCCAAGGCTGGGCAGTAAACCATGTGACAGGAATCCAGAAGATGGAAAAAAAAAAAATAAAAGCAGAACTGCAAAAGAAAACAAACAGCTGGACTGGCTCTGCCCGCATAAACAGCAAATGTTTCGATTCCCTCAACGCTGTACTGTATCAGTGGCCTAACTTGTATAATTTCTTTGGGGCCTTCATCTCTGGTGGAGACAGAATTGAAAGTGGACATTTTCATTCCCTCTCTGCTGTAATGCGCTTCCACCGAGCTTTCTGCTCTACTGTACCACACCTAAGCACTTATTTCGATGATGAGTGACTTTAAGGGAGTGACTGTGCGCCGTGGAGGGACAGCATTTAGCTATGCTAGCTAACTGACCAAAGCTAGCTTGGAGCAAGTTAGCGCTGCGCCTAGCATTCACCACAGTAGTACTCGAGTCGTCGGGAAAGCACGGAGGACGGCTGACTGTTCGACATCGATGCCAGTCTGGCTGACAGCTCCTCTCAGCTCCGTGGTCAGAAGCGATTGAAGCTAATTTCACACTCGTGCGAAAACAATGATGTCAGCAAAAGCATTGTCGCGAGTGGCTGGTTGAATCAAAATCTTTTTTGAATTGTATAACCTATGCAACTCAGACCCCGGACTTGTAACCAGGCAATCGCAGGACACATAAGAAGACAGCCCAGCACTCACACATCGTTAACGAACGGGAAATGAGCCCACGCTGCCTGCATTGAAGTCAAGTAAGTGAACCAGTACACTGTCAGTGACTCACAACAAAATTCCATTTGAAGCAAAATGATCGAAAACCGTACACACTGTGTGGTTTTGTAACGCTTAAGAATGATGATGTCAAGGCACATAACACAGAAAAGGTCTCAGAAGAGAAGAAACCTTTTTTTTTTTTTTTTCTCCACAGGAACTTCGTTGAGTCCAATTTGTACACAGTGACCTTTGGATGTGACGGGCAACATGTTGGTGTGCTCATTTGCATTTTATCCGCTAACATGTGCATTCTGACTGAATCCTAATGTTACTGTGTCGCCCATCATGCTCATTAAATGTAATTGAAGTAAGGAGTCAAGGGGAAGGCTGCAGCCAAGAGCTGTCTCCACGTTATGAAAAATGAGAGGAAAAACATTTTCCTGCCATTTTAGATATTCTGCGCCGCCTCAATTTCACACATGTAAAAGAAAGAGAACGGGGATGGGTTGGGGGGAGCTTGAAGTGGTAGTGTTTTATTCATCTTTATGCAAATAAAGTCATTTATGCTCGCCTTAACAAATCAAGAATCATGTATGTCAACATCTAGCGAGGAAGAAAGTGCAGATGGGGATGACATACGAAAAAAACAAAACAAAAACAAACGCAGACAGGGAGGAGCCCCGCGACTGCTTCGTCCACAAATCCTGACAAGGGGGAAATCAACTTTTTCGTTGTGTGAAATCTTCTTATGATGTACAAAGTGTTGCTGTATTCAAACTACATTGCACTGTACATTATTGTAGTCCGGGAAAAAAAAGAAGCTATTGTTGCTAGCTGGATGGCTAGCTGGTGAGGGGGGGCCGAGGCCAATGTTGGTTCACACCCTGCTTGTCTGCATTTTCAACTCCACACTGCACTTTTCGATGAATACTAATCCACTCGCCACTACCAATTGTATGCCCTCTATCGCTACAAGGAAATCCCCCACTGAATTGCTACATAGCTAATGTCACAAGTATATGCTTGAAATCGATATAACACTGATAAGTACATTCCATGTATATGAATATACCATACAATGGGGCGATAAGATATTTGATCAACTCGGGAATACTCGTTTCAACAATTAATGGGTCAACTTGACTTCATTAGTTAAGGCAATTCCTTCGTGGTGCGTTTGGTGTATACAGTGAAACCTCTGAAGTCCAACAATTCACAATCAGACCGGAATTTTCAGAACGCCATCATACACGATGCTACAACAGAATACTGGAAAAAATACTAAGCCGAGCTCAGTGAGCGTCTAACAAATTCTGCACTCCTTACATACACGATGCTACAACAGAATACTGGAAAAAAATACTAAGCCGAGCTCGGTGAGCGTCTAACAAATTCTGCCCTCCTTTATGCGTTTTGATTTGGAAAATGGAATTATCCTTTCTTTATCCGGACAAAGGAAACGTGTACACAGGTGTTTGTCCTGGCTGCGCAGTAAAAATAGGCGAAAACAAAAGAAAGTGTGCATTGGAAACTCATCTCCAAAGCAAAAGCAGGCATCTTCTGTCATGTGTCACCAGTTAATTTTGTTTTTACGTACGACTGGTAACTTGGAATTTACTCGACTGCCAAAAATGATCAATCCATTCGTTATTGATAGACAGCGACTGTCAATTGCAGGGCACATCACGCATTCACTCCCATTCACACGCCTGGACAATTTAAAGTTTAGATAGAAGCGAACAGGCAGATTTTGGAAAAGTGGCAGGAAGCTGAAGTCCCTGGAGGAAAAAAACAAAACAAAACACAAGCATGGGGAGAACGCGGGAAGCATATATACTCACCACACCATTTAGAAATGTATGATTTTAAAATTCAGTTTTTACGTATGACTTGGTTTCACTGAAGTCCCGTTTCCAAGGTATCGCCCATCATCCAGTTTTATAGCGCTTATCCCGATCGGTGTCGCGAATGAGCTGGAGGCTATCGCATCTGACTTTCGGCAACCAAGAAAGATCCGTAAGAAGTACTTCTTAGAGGTGCCATATTGAGCAGAACGGTCGCTGTCGCCTTTCGCGCGACCGGAAAACGGTTTGGACAGCACCTCTGCTGGCCGCAGCCGGGTCGCACGCTCAAGTGGCTTCAAGACGCTAGCAATCGACAATCAATTCCGCAGTCCAGAGAACTCAACCATGAATTACGGCGGCCATTTCTGCTGTTAGCACAGGTTAACTGCATTAAAAAGCAGTCAGTCAGTCATATCCTGAAGCAGGTTGATTCAATTTCCACTTGTTTTTGGACTCCGAGTCCAAACGTTGTCACGCAAAGGATTGTGTTTGAATTTAGAGGTTCCACTGTAATCCTCAAATATGAGACTCTTAATACTTTTATCCTGCTTTTCGTTTTAACTCATGTGAATAAAACAAAAGCATTGTTCCCACGTCATGCAGAGAGGTTGGGTCCAATTTGAGATCATTTTCGGACAGTCGCTCAGGCAGATGCCAATCTCGATCTAATCGTGCACTTTTAGAGAAATAATCAATGTGGTTTTCCTGCTATTCAATCGGCTGGGAGGGAAGGAGGATTTGGCCACGACCCAAGCCCGCGTGTGCCGCATCGGGACAACGTTTACATGTAGCCTCGACAACAATCTAAACGCACAGAAATCCACAAATCCCTGCACACGAAACTGCACGAGGAAGAAAGTCAAGATACACATCACACATTTTTCACAAAGCCTCAAGCGAGCGCTCAGGTCTCAGCGGCTCAAGAGCCGGGAGGAGGACGTCGTTGCTGTTTGCGGTGGTCGTCGTCTGCAGTGGGCGTCGCCTCAGAGGAAGTGAACGTGTCGCTAGACTGAACATGGCGGGGTAATCGTTCTTTTCTAAACCGCCGTCTTTATCGATCATCTTTGCGTCCGCTCCGCCCGATTGAAACGTGCGAGGTTCGGAAAGCTTTCAGCACCGGTGAGTCATCCCCGTGTAGCTTGACTGACTCAACTGCTTGTTGCTTTTTGCCTTGAAGGTGATGGTACGTAGGAAGTTTCATTCAGATCATGAATTGATTAATGGAAGAGTTTACAGAGTCTGTGTGTGTGTGTGTGTGTGTGTGTGTGTGTGTGTGTGTGTGTGTGTGTGTGTGTGTGTGTGCGCGTGTGTCCACATGCATGTTTGAACAGTAAATGAAAATCAAATAGGGCTGAGCTGGAAATATGGTGCACGTGTGTCAATGTTTGGGACAGAAATGGTCCTTTTGTTCAACGTGTGTGAGTGTGTGTGTGTGATTACGCATATGTGTATAATCCAACCCCAGCTACAAGGCGTTGGAAGCACTTGGGCTCCAGCCCATCTGATAAGCTCTCTCCAGGGTTCTCTTGCAGTCCTGCATTACCGTGCTGAATACAATGTGAGGGTACTGGACCACCAGCCTCTCCACTGTCTCCTCGTTCACCTGCAAACACAGCGACGAACGAGCATTGATAAGAGACGGCTATTCAAATTCAGCAATTTGTTAGTCATGGAGGTTCATCAGAGACATTGTCTTGGTATCCGGTTAAAAAAAGGTCTCTTTTTTTTCACCCTCAATTCTGATCCAACTGTTGCAAATTTGCGGTACTGGAACAGTTTATTCGGTACGCTGGCGCAATGTAATAAGATTAGAGAGCTGTTAGAAAAAACAACAGCAACAACAACAAAAACAGACACACACAAAGATGTTTGTATTACAAATTCAGTGGAGCAAAACACTTCACAAAAACATTAAAAAAAAAATCACCCCCCCACCCAAAAAAAAAATAAATAAAATTATATATATATATAAATAAAATAATATTAATTTGGCTTAATAGCAAATTGTTCACTTTCATGGACGCTTGATTGAATTTGTGGTATTGACTGAGATTAAGAAACATGTTTCTCTTTGTTTCATGACCCACTCTTCCATGAAATTGAATGGACATTGCTCGGAAGTAGTGTTAGGATTAACAAAAATAATAAGGGTAAATTCGTTTTTATTATCGTGGTTGTAGCTCATGCTCTCACCAGCTAAAAAAAATAAAAAAATCACCTCTGTTCCAGTCAGAAAATCAGGAAGAGGAAGGAACACCGTGAGGAGCTGACAAAGAGCAGAAGCAACGTAACCCCGGAGACCACGAGGGGGTTAGCCGTAACCCACCCAGAACCAACCCCTGCCCACCCGCGAGCGTAACACTTTCCAGGGGAAATGATGTATAAACACTCAAACACGTGTTGCGCATATAGTCATTCGTTTGTTATCAAAGTAGCACACAAAATGGTGGACGCTTTCTCACCTGGCCAAACGCAGTTACGGTTGCGAGGTTAATTCATGGCATGGCTGGATTCACTTCATCAGAACTACATCAAAACAGTTATGAAAACGATTGACACAGTGACGAGCTGTCACTTCTGTATAAATGAAGTGTAGCACTCAAAGGTGGACCGCTATCAAGCTAGCGTTCATTTGATTGTTGAGCAAGAAACCAAATTACAGTGGTACAGTGACTTAATCTTCTCCAGCCCCATCAAAGATCACTATAGTCTAGAAAACATGATAAATTATGTCAAATGTAGAGAAATAAAAACATTTTAGTGCTTAAAACAAACTGCTGTTCATAGTGTAGCATTCAAGGGCGTGGTCTCAGAAGCTGGACTTGGCGTCTTGGTATGGTTAGAGGCACTCGAATGTTAGCAAGACATGCCAGAAAAACGAGCGGCATACTGTAGCTCCGTCTCGTCTCGGCAGGGCTTAGACATCCTTTCCAAAGTCACATCCAAGCAATTTTCCGATTTAATTCCAAGCTTTTCCCAGGAACTGGCTGTATGACATCTTGACATGAAAATGCTCATGCTCGAAATGATCCTTTACGGTTTATTTCTGCATTCTGCCTCGTCCACTCACTTTGTCTAGTGATGAGGCGAGGGCGCTAACGTCAAATGTCTCCTTTGCGCCGATGGTCCAACTCTTGGTCAAAACAGAACCATTTTGATTTTCAAGACGCAAATTGTGATTTCTCATGCGTTGTGTGTGTGTGTGTGTGTGTGTGTGTGTGTGGGTGTGTGTGTGTTGGGTGGAAAAAAAAAAAAGACACGTTTCAACAATGAATAATTAAAGCTTTTCTTTCCAACTTTTGGACACGGGTCTGGGCGTGTTGAATTTTCACTGAGCTCGTCATTGATGTGGAGCCACTTGGATCCCGTTCATCACATACAGCAACTGTCTTAATTATGCCGCACAAATGGGAGAGACGGAAAAAGAAACACAAGTGAGGGGCAAGGCTGAGTTTGAACCCCACCCAGCCAAAGAGATTTCGTTTATTATGACAATTGGCTGAGCCTCATTAGCAGCTCACATGACAACGCCCTGATTGCCTTCATAAGATCGTACACTATAGCCCTGAAAACGCTCCCCCGGCTTGTTAATCAGGGCCTAATTGCAATTCAAACACATCTGAAGAATAGACACGTCAAACTGATGGGAGGCCATAACATTCATTAATGCTCATTGCAAACAAGACTCCCACTAAACGCCTCCCAATCAAAACTCGGAACGCTTTTGACTAATTGCCGGTTACAGAGACGTTAAATGTCGATGGAAAGCATCAACAGTTGATGAAAGCGCAATGGCGCTTGAAAACGCAAAGGCTGAAAAATGTCATTATGTCACGTGCTCGTGATTGCCATTTGAAGCTCTTAAGACCAAAGCTTATGAACTTGCAACTGACAACTTATAATAATTACCGTTGGTCCACAGAGGAATATGGATGTGTCTATATCAATATTTCTTTATATATTATAATTATTGCTATTATTCCACTACAGTAGGCCATTATATTATAAAACTGTAAATCCAGTTCAAGGGGGTAGGAGTAGATACGTTTTCTGCTTTACGACTGCTTTCTGGATGTGGACAGTATAATTGTATTTTTAACTTTTAATGTTTCATTTCGACAGTTTCTTTCATTTTCACACACTTGAAATAAAGAATTCATTCCTCCATTCATATTTTTCTGTCCATATTACACTGCAAAAAATTTTTTAAAGTATTCTGTGAATCGCTGCACCCCAGTATACGAACCACGCATTTCCTAACCGGATGTATAAACGTGTAAAAATCCAGCCAATAAAAACACAACAGTCAAAAAGAATTGGGATTTTGAAGTCAAGGAAAAAGAAAAAAAAAAAGACTTTCAAGCCACTTGAAGCGTTTCATGGATGAATATCAATAAATGGCTTACGGGTTGAAAGAATAACATTTGATGTCTGGTTATTTGCAGTCCAAAGCTAATATAATTGAGACGTGCAGGCTGGAAAATAAAATAATAATAAATGAATGAATGAATTCTGATTGTTACGTGTGGCAGAGGCTGGACTCACTTCAAAAATGATGACTCAGCTGATTCTTTTCAATTTTGTCACCGGGTAAAAGTGCTCTCAGTGATATTTTGTTGCTTGGCAACTTTAAGCCGAAAACCAAAGTAATGGGGGTCTCTGGTGCATGTCTCTGACAGGGATTCTTTTTTTTTCCTTCTGATGCCGTACTGTAGAGTCCTTCAAAAGCCGCTGCCAAGTCTGTCGGAAAGACACATGATACAGCAGATCCCTACTCAGGCATCTGGGAGCATAGCCACAGCTATCTGGAGCGAAGCCTATACTTAGGATATTTCCCCCCCTGCCCATTTTAACTTCAAAGATGCAGCACGTAGATCCGAGCGTAATGCGTACTGATGGCTAATGCGACGTTGTCAAGAGTTTACAAGAGAGAGATGGAACAAAAGGACTTGTCAAAGCCCGCTACGCGAAAATGGCACCTCCATCTTCTTCTTTTCAAGGTGATGGATGTCTCCTTTGTGATATGACCTTCTCGCCATAAGCAATCTCCTCCCTCGTAATCTCGTACCGTTGGAGGCACTCCATCACCACATAAAAATCTACATTGAGCAAAAACGCCGCCGGATGTTGCCCGGATGGTTCGCCGCAGTAATACTTGTCGTCAAGCTGACTAATGTAGCGGCGCTTTACATTCCCAAGGGAGAAAGAAAAAGAACAGGACTCTCAATAGAATCGATAATCGGATCTACAAACACAACGTTTTTGCATCTCATATTCGGCAGCCTCCCGGGTGCTCCAAACAACGCTGGGGAAAATGGAATAAGGGCTTTGGAAATAGGAGAGCGAGGAATTATACATTCACTGAGGAGGTGAAATGCGTTTTTTTCAATTTCGATTGCCCTTTTTTTCTTTTGTATCTGCATTGAACGGTCGCCGCAAAGACTACTTTTCAATGCAAACAGCCACTTTATAATGGTACACAAGGCTGTGGTGAACCACACAACAATGGGTCTTGAAAAAAAAATGTTTCAAGCAAACATTGGGCTGTTCTAAATGGTTATTTTTCGATGCGGACAAAAAAAAAAAAATAAACCCATGTAGTAGAAACAGCTGCGCAGTCGCAATTCATATTGATGTACTTCAACTCGATTATTGCCCCTTGGTGCAAAATTGGCTTTTTTTGGGGGGGGGTCTTGTTAGTGGGGCACGTTGTCCTCTGCAGCAAATAGAGAAGATGTCCTCCTTTGCATACTGCACATACTCAGGGCCACTTTGTTGCGTATGAAAATGAAAATTACAGCCGTCACTGGATTGTGGGGGAGGTTAAAAGGTCAACCGCACGCTGAGACCACATGCAGGGATCACAGTTTGGATGCTACCTCGGCGTCAAGGCCTCTGCTTTTACTGAATTCATTAGGCACCTCATTGGAGAGGATTTTTTTTTCATTGTGTTGAGAAAAGCCTCGAAGGGAATGAATGGCAAGTTCACAGAAAACAACCAACGCTTAAAAAATTAGCTTTTTTCCCCCCGTAATTTTCAAGGCAAGTTGTGACAGGGACTTTATTCATTTTCGTTTCGAACGCAGCCTTCACAAAAGGCCCTCGGGACTCCCATTTTGCTCACCATTTAACACTCGGATGACACACTCGCTCTGACGGAGCGGCCCATCCTGCTCCAAACGTTCCTTCTCATTTCGAAGCCAAGTTTAGACTGCGCTGTCTGTTGTGCAAAGTGAGGTGGATGGGATTTGAAATTTGGAGAGCAAAGTCCTGTCGCACGACCGGTGATGTCACCTTGACATCCGATAAGCAAAGCGTCGGTCCCGGCACCTCATGCCAAAGTACTGCCGTTCTTATTTCCTCATTGATCATACTTTTATTTGTTTCCGTCCATCTTCCTGAGCCGCCTGGCAGCAATTGCTTGCCCTGGGCAAATAAAGAGAGACGAATACCACCCCCTGGCCTCTGCCGACTTCAATGCAGAGAGTGCATTAGTCAAGCAGTAAATGCATTTGGGGGTAAATGTTTAAGAAGCCGGTTGAGGCAGCAGATTGTGCATTAAGTCTTTGTTGCCCGTCTGTCTTTAAACGGGTCAGATTTATA